TTGTCAGGAGTGAAGCAATAATTGGACTACAGGGCTCACTGCAGTTTTCTGCTTAAGAGTGAGGCATTGCAGAATCTTCCACCTATCCTGCCTTTTTTTTTTTTTATTACAAACCAGAGTATTTTAATGCAAAGAATAGATGTTAAATTACCATTTTAGGAAGTGGATTTGGAGGTATATTGCTTTAGGCAATCATGGATTAAAGTTTTGCCTTTCTCATCTTCCTCTCGCGCCTACGTTACACAGAACAGAGGAGCAGCAGCTAGTATGGGGCATTTCAGGCACATGGTGAATTTCAGAGCTGAAAACCAAGGCACAAAGGAAATTACAAGTCTGTTAAACACTGTTCACCTGGGATCTAAAAAATTTGAACCCTCAAAAGTGTATGTATGTAAATACACATACAGTGCATACACATGCATTAAAATATATGTATATATATACACACACATATTTAAATGCTCCCCACAAACACATACACTTTTGTAGGGAATTGGAGCTACTTGCTAGCACTGCTATTCTGATGACAAATTTTAGTCTCAACTATTTTAATAGGTCAACCCATTATTGTCAATACACGGGAAAAAATTGAATTATCATTGCAAGCTGCTGATGAGTGTTGTATCTATCTGTATATATGCAGAGCTCCACCTGTGCTAAAAGTTGGAGTGCAGATGTGTTCTAATTCACTAGACACTATCAGAGTGAAGTCAAGCTGAGAAAAAGTATGAATTATTACTTACCAAAACAGAAGAACAAGTACAGCTGATAGAGAAAAAAGAGTCTGCAACAGTCATTGCCTTTTTCAGCCTTGATGAAAAGAAAATAAAGGTGACCTAATTAGTTCAAATAACTAGGGGCTTGGAAAGTCTTAAAGAAAGAAGGAGTTGAAGAGTATATGATTTACACTTCAGAAATTTATGAGGATAAGCAGTGTAGGTCCCGCTTACCAGCCTGATCTCTGCCTCTCAAGGGCATAGGTTCACAACACAGCTGAGTAAAATTAGCAGCTCTTCCAGGAGGGAGGTCCTGCAGTCACTCTCCATGCTGCTGCGCTTCTCCTTCATGCCGTTACTGACATAAAGTGATCCAAGCTTGCTCCCTTTTTGATGGTTTAAAATTTTTGGCATTTTCAGTCAACTCACCTCATCTCAGAGCAGCACCCAAACCCATGGTGGGAGCACATGGCCAGATATCGTCTCCTTCTTCCTTCTTTCCAGCCACGGGGTTGAGTCAGCTTGGGGTATAACTGAGCCCACAGGCAAAGCTGTGATATAATTGCAGCCTGGCAAACACTTGGGTGCAGAGGGGAATATCTTGTTGACAGTAATTGTTGTATTTACCACAGGAAAAGGCCTCTTTCTAACGCATCCATCTGGACATACAAATTATCAGAGGAAAGTGGATTGTAACAATGCTTGTTCCCTGTTGAGAACCAAATATAGTACTTTTCTCCTTGTTTATTCAGCCTGAGGTGAGAGTGGAAGCAATTAGACCAATACCTGTCATTGCCAGATCCCACAAGGCTGCGTGCGCTAATGATGAGCAACTCACCTTTGAAAAGTTCTGTGAGGACAGAACTAACCGCATGTTGTTGCTGAACCAACATATCAATACAGTACTAATGAGCACTATTGCTGAGATAAATATTCATGTCAGCTTTTGGCCAGTGGGCACATACTTTTTTTCCTTGCAGTTGTTCCTCATCACAGAGGGGTAAGCACTGGGTTCTGCTAAGGACACAAAATGCAACCACTCGTATTAAAAACCCCTCTTTTCTGTTCCTTTGGATCAACATATTCCCTTACTCAGTAAATATACAAATTAATCCCCATCTAGGAGGAAAACCTCATCTGTTTCAGGAATAAACATCTCCCTCAACATAATGACTGAATTGGAAGTCACAATTTATGGAAATCAAAGAACAGTTTTGTCATATTTGATGTTGGCAGATCAAAGAAATTTAGATTTAAAGGCACGTGAATTTTTGGGAGCAACGTGAGTTATCATAGTTGTTGTAAATTCCCTTGGGACTTTAGGGCTTTCCTCAGTATCTGAATGTTTAGAATTAGATGCCATGCTAGTCTCTGCAGCTGACCAGAGATGAGCTGTGTTACCAATAAGCTCCTGGGAAGTCTATCAGCAGGCTAAACTTGTCTAGAAGGTCCCGACATTCTGCTTTTAAGGATCACTTGACTACAGAAGTGGTCCATGTTGTTTATTAGTGATCGTGAGCTCATTCCTAACATCAAACAGAAGTAAAAATCAAATAAATCTTTACATACAAATATCTGAAAATGAACACCGAAGTAATAGAAAGGGCAAGCTTTGTCTCAACAATCAGATTGAAAAGACCTTGAACTTTTCTGCACGCACATCTCTGCATCTAGCTAACAAACTACAGGTATTTGTGTAATCCCTGTGATGAGCAACTTGTTACTGATGTCACCTTTGCCTTTGGAAGCTGGTTTAAAATATCATGCTTTCTTATATAGCTTACCTTTTCTTTCTCTTTCCCACCCTAAGGATCTCCTCGGTCATTAGTCAGGAATGTGATTCAACTTTCTTCCACCAGAACACTCACTGCCCCTGCCTGCTCTGGAGACACTCATTACAGGCAGCTAATGACTGCAGACATAGCCAAGCTCCAAAGAGATCATTACTCACCACTACCCTCTTCTCCTTGCATGGGTAATATTCAGATCCTAGTGTGAAGCTCTCTTTTTTTTTTCTTAAATCTTATATTCTGTAAACCACACAATTTACTATTCACGTAATACAGCACATTGCTGACTCTCCTATGAGACCAAATGCAATGATAATCAAATCATTTTGGTAACAGATCCATGGGTGACTATCCTGTGCTGTCTGTGTAGGCTACCATGTCAATAGGCAAAACAAAATAGTAGCAGAAAAGCTGCATTTTTTAGTGTATGTGAAACTAATCAGAGCCTATGTAGTATGTCGACAATTATTTGAATAGAAGCACATTAACCCAAGCACTGAACGCTCTCAGAGCTGCCTTCAGTTGTGCATCTCCTCAGCATGGATCATCACAAGCTAGATTTATCTGCCATAACCTCTTAATTTCAGCAGGGCTACTCATATAAAAATAAAGTGGAGCTAGAGTAACACCTTCTATTTAAATTCTCATTGTCCTCCTAGCTACCTTCACGCTATTACCACATGTGTGAAAGGCGCTGGTTCGTGTGAAGCAAATGTGAATTTTTGTAGTCATGGTTATCTTTCAGTAACTTAGGCTCTCTTTTGTCAGACAAAAATATCATCAGTCTCGAGGTACAGTTTGATAACTTTAATGAGGGTCTGCACTTCAATACAGGCTCTTTACATTCAATACGTATCAGTACACAAAATATAAGAAATCACATATACATATAAACTTTTTTGTTTGTTTTACAATTCAACCAGTATGAAATACACAAGCTACATTTATTCACATAACAAAATGGAACATTGATGAGCTTCATTCACTGATCAAATATTTCTACAATTTATGGACCAATATTTTTCTGCAGTTGCTGAAACAACTCTCTCTCTTAAACAACAAATAATTTATGTCAACAGATACATTGGCATCACAGTCTATGAAATGAAAAGGCCAGATTGAGCACTGACTTAACACTCTCACAGGCATCAGTAGAACCGACATGAAGCCACGGTGCCTGATTTATATCAGCATCAGTTCTGTACGTGTTTTATCAGCTCTAGAAATGAGGAATTAAATCACATTAAAAAATTTCATTATTATTGGGTGATTTAACCCACTTATTTTTATCCTTTTTAAAGTATGAAGCAATCTTTAAATGAAAAAATATTTAAACCTTTTGATTTTTTATTTTTCGACTCAAACTATTCTCACATACAACATGAATTTGTATTTTGTGAACAGTTTTGGTCCCTCAGTTTGTCTTGATGGATTAATTTTTAACTGCTTCATTGAAATATACCAACGGTTCACTAATGAAGCTATTTGAACATAAGTATGTAAAAAATAACATTTGCCTCTTAAAACAATCTCTCTGCTACAAAGTTTCCACTACTCTCTCTTTTTTTGCTTTTAAGCACAGTACAGTCAAAAAATTAAAGCTTTTTCTAGCAGCATTTAAGGGTTCCTTGTGTGAAGTGCTGGAAACTTTCTTGTACTATCAAATACGCTGAATATACCCAGCACTTAAGGTGCAGACCCTGCAAGAACTGAGTACACAGTTTGTTTTCACAAACAAACACACATTCACAGTGCAGTTACCTGCAAAGGTGCTCATCTGTTCACAAATTTTTAATGTGAGACAAGTGTGACCTTTTATAAATTAAGCAGATGTTCCTTACAGGCCTTTCAATATATGCATTCAACACATGAGGGGAATTCATCAGGAAACTTGCTTCAGTTGAGGGAAAATAAAACTGTTCTTTATACAGACTATATAAGTTTATGTCTGTCTGTTAGTTAAAACCTAATGAACGGACTAAAAACTGATAAATATATCAAAGAAATGTAACAGTAAACAAGCTGAACTGATCTGCTTCTAATTCCCATGGGGATCACATGGTACCTAGCATTTTATCAGGGATTTGAAAGCAAATTTTCCACTGATAAAGTTTGCAGCTCAAAAAAACTGGCAGAACAGTAAATACTTAAGAGCTCAAGTCACTGAACCAAACAAACTAGATCATTTAGCAAGCTGGACACAAGCAAAGTGTCTTTTATACATCCAAATGGAAAAAGTCAATGCCTCAAAGCAAAGAGTACCCTTATGGAAAGGATGGTGGAACTTAGCCCTAGGAAACAACAACTCTGAAAAGAACTTTTGGGTATCACTCATAGATACAACCTACTCCTCTCTAAAAACACCTTGGAGACAATCTTCTCACTTGAATGTGCTCTTAAGAATTTTGGCAGGATTCTTAAGAAGCTTGTGTACTTCACTGTGTGTAAGGAACTCTGTTCACTTAAGTACCTGGAATGAGAAATATATGATGATTTATCATTATTTTATTACTAGTTTTGGAAAGAACGCATTCCAAAGTGACTTAAAACATTCAAGTGCAACTTTTGGAGTAGCAATATCAAACTGGTAAGCAACAAAAGCAAACCACTCACAATTTTAAACAAATATCAAACCACTGAGCCTTACAAGGATGCATTTAGGGCACTGCCAGTGTATGATCCTTGCCTCCATCGTTTCTTCATACACCGTGTTTAATTTCATTGCCCTGTAGCACTGAGCGGCTGTAGATTTATTTGTTTGGAACTTACCGGTGACTCAGATATTGCTGCAACCTTTAAAGAATTTTTGATGGAGCTGAGTTCCCACATGTGCAAGTTTATGATGTGCATGCCACAACATCCCCTGGTAATCTTGTACAGGTTTTTAAGTACAGCTTTCCTAAGAAGAATGTATACCCAGGGGTCTAAAATCTGATTCCACGTTGCCATTCGGAGAGCAAAAAGTATTGTTTCACAGGTGTCCTTTGAATGATTGTCATTTATCCCAATTCTGGCCATAGTCACCTGAAAGATGGAATATTTTTTTAAGTTACATATCAAAAAAGTACATCACAAGATCGTGTAAATATGTGAAATCATTTCAGGATTATCTTCTATCTTTCTGCCTTCAGAGCATTTTATTTACAAAATAAACATTTTTGTGCATGTAACATCATTCTAGAAAACCCCTCATGTTTTATAGAAGACATGCATCTGTCTCTACTGACCTACTACTGATTAAACTTGAGCACAGGATGGCAACCAGCCAGAGAGCATCCTCCAAAAATAAGGATGGATTTCTGTAAAGATTAACGAATTAGCCAGAATTTGGGGTAGCAAAGCATGCCAAGGCTATTCCAGAATTGGCTTGTTCAAGTATATAGGCCACTGTTATCTCAAACCAGAATATTTTTACAAAGGGTATTAACTTTTTTCACATTTTCCAAATAAAAAAAAGTCTGCCTAATGAATACAGCACCTTTATTTCATCGAAGAGCTTCATAAATCTTAAGCTGCAACAGAACACAGTTCATTTACCTCAGAGAAGAAGGGGTTCAGAGGTTTCTACCACAATTCAAGCCACGGTGACAAAGGCCACCGCTATCTCTCCTCTTGCTAATGGGGACAGAGAGGGCTTCATTCACCTGTGGAGGCAACAGAAATGCTGCACTTGGAAGGACCTCACCAGCCCATCGCTGTCTCAGTGGTTTCCCACCAGTGAGGGCACTCATTTTCCAGCACGTACCAACAAGATTTGCTGCTGGCTGGCAGAGGATATCCCAAAGCTACACTAACTCACTACAGCTCCCCATGTAATGCCCTTCTTTGCAGAGCTGCAGCCTGAGCTGTGAACACCAGACTTGGTGAAAACCAGGCTGACGGTGGCTCATGCCCTGCAGAGACCTCCTTCGTGGGCGTTCTGCCACTGAAGTTTTGTAACCTGAGTTCCTGTGTGAAGAACGCCCAGCAATGCAAAGCCAGGAATCTGCCAGTAGACGGTAAATTATCTATCTCCACTATTAATGTTAAAAGCACATGAAGACTTTTTTGGTAGAAGGATGAAACACTACAAGGCTTTTAGTTCCAAAGCCTTTAAAGTGATAGACTAACTAAGAAACAGGATATTTTCCAACTAATACTATGAGTTATTGGGCACTGAAAGGCAGGGTCAGTCTGTCCAGTCCAGGGACTGGTATTTGCACAAGATACGTTACAAAAAAAGATTAAAAAAAAATAAAAAAAGAGGAAATGCAGAGAGAAAATGCAGAGTGGTAGCTACCACTCAAGAATCCAGCAAACCTCTTATGTCTCTGCAAATAACTCACTGTGCTCCTGGGCCCTGCCTATACCTCACAATATCTGAGTATAAACATAAAGCCTGGAACAGAATGAACACATAAAAAGAGATCGCATTTTATTGGTTGAGGATTTGGTTAAGCGTTTCTATATGGACATTTGTGGGAGCAAAGAAGAGTCCCAGAAATGTTCTTAGGGAAGCTGGTAAGACTGGCAGCAGCACAGCTGGGAACCGGTATAAGGAATGTCTGAACATCGTGCCAACACAAACAGTTATAATTCAGTTCCCTGAATCTCCTTTTCACCCTACCACTGTTGGGTGCATTCCTTCCTGACATCAAACTTGGACAACTCTGTTGGCTCTTGCACGGGATATTTTCTCAGGACGGTCCTACATTTTATTCACAAGAAGTCCCACACCGCAAGCCAGACTCGGATAGGTTACTTCCTACTCATGCAAGTAGAGCTGGGCATGGAACAGCACCGTGGAGTTCATATACCAATGACTTTACTTGATGACTTTACAGACATATAGCTTGCTAACCTACTTCTTGATGTTTATGTGTGTTCTTCAGAATTCCATTTTCTTTTTAATCTTGCATCCTGTAAATTAATAAATAATTGATAGTTCCACTAGGATTTTGTAAAACTGTATTGTTTTCTCAATTCTCTCAAAAATAGTATTGTTATCTAGAAAATTTGTGAGATTCTTTTCCATCTAGTATCAATCACCTCTACATGAACCCTTTTTTTTTTATGTTTATGTTACTGGCAAAACAAAGTTGCTTTGTTTTGATTATAAATTTACTTACAAGTTCCATTTAACAATCAGGCAAGGTAATTTGTTATATAGTTATATGTATTCCAACACTTGGAGAAGCTTCATTAGCAGGACTTCATTTGTTACTCTTTGTGAATACTGGATAAGCACAAAGTAATATATTTAAACTCATAAGTAGAGCTTATATACATAACTAAATGCTTAAGAAACTCAGCTGGGAATCCCATTACTGGAAGTGTTGATATAAAACACTTTACCTAAGATTTTGTTTCATGAAGTAAGATTATTTTAACCATGTTACTTAAATTATTGGGGAGTATTATTCAGAATTAAAATACTGCTTATTTGTATTACTAAAAGGAATATAAAATGGTAGCCTGACTTGTTAAAGCTTTGTGATGTGGAGATTCCTATACAGGCCTGAGCTAACACAGAAATCTCAATCCAGTTCCATTTTATCCTAAAATTCTTATGGCAGAGTGGCAGTAGTGACAGACACGTTACATAAAACAGCCTCTAGCTGTGAAGCGGAACAGCTTCTCCACTTCTCCAAAGAGCTTGCATTATACTGGGAGCTCTTCCACATCTTCTGAGAAAAAAAGTGGATGGAAGACAAGTGAAAACAACTGAAAGCTTATCCTAGCAGAGAGAGGTCAAAGAGGAAAACATATCCTGGCTACTGGATCATTTCTATAAAAGTAGTCTCATGAATTGTAGAACAAGATCTGAAACTCCAGCTAAAGAAGGGTAGAATGAAGATTTGCTGCTTTATCACATTTTTGTTTCAGTATTTCCTTTTGATTTAAATTAAAAAAAAAATACTAAGACATTCTAAAATAATAAACAACAAAAAGGCCTACTATTCCACCATCTATTTAAAGCGCTTGAATTAAAACATTCAAACAGCCTGTATTTGTTCCATATGTTTATGAAAGCCGTGTCCCTGAACTGGCAGAAGTCACTGGCTCAGGAACTGGAACAAGCGCTGCCGCACTCCGCTAACGTCTGAGAGTGGGACCTCTTCCGCCGGCACAGGAAGGACACATCTTTTATTCTTACTTCAGTAATTCTGTTCAATAATATGTTGAAAGACAGGAAAGCTACTCAAAAACTAGAGTTTTTTCCTATCATATAGGCTCATCAAGTTAGTATGATTAAGGAATTCTGCTCTCTTCCCAATAGCAACCAGTACATAAGCAGGAGAGTGAGAAGCAGAAATGTGATTACATTCATATCTGGTTGCCTTTGATGTCTTTAACTGAATTTAATACCCACACAGATTCAGCAGTTTGAATCAAGTAATCCTTATCTGGTAAATAAATAACTCACTCATTATATTTTTTTACATACCTAGAAATATAAGAATTAGGAATCTGAGTAGTATTTTGCTAAGCTATATAATGTTTACATGCATACAGCTGCAGTATGTCTCCCTGGTTTGAAAAAAAAAAATTACCATATGATAAAACAAGTACATTCCTAAAGAAAGGTTGAATTGTAACTATAACAACCTCAGTGTAAAACACTGACTTTTTTAATCAAAGCTGTCTGCTCGTAGATTATAAAGTTGTTCTGACTCACGTTAGTCCTCACTAGCATATGGAAAGACCTGAGATTTCCCTGTCCCTAAAAATAAACAGAGAGAAGTCCAAATATGTGTCAGGCAAGAACTTGACACACTACATTAAACATTGACGTTACTTTTTTTCCAAAATCAGGTTTCACAAAACACTAGCTTACTTTGCAAGATCCAGAAAGTCTGATGGAAAAGTTTGAAAACATTCTGAAATTGTTGACTTCTTCAATTTTGCATCTAGGAGATAGCATCAGAGAATTGTCCTTGCCCCAAGGGATAAAACTCAATGCAACAAATTGAAAAAAAAGCTCCAAAGCTTCACACCACTCCAAATATAAACATCATGCCTTTGATTTCCCTTCCAATTGGATCTCACTTATATGAGAACAACTAATAAGCTAAATGGCATTGCCGCTTACTCGCATTCCTGTTAATGCTCAACGACAGCCAGTCAAAACAAGAAGCAGACGTTACAGTTGGTTAGGAAACAAGAGAAACTGTATTAGTACTTTGATGCATTTCAACTTAGAGACTCTAAATCCTGACCCTACCCTTGGCTTCAGGAAACTGTCTAAAAACAGGTCACCCAGAGATTGATTTGGAAAGCAGAGTAGATAGGCCAGTTTTGTTTTGTGCAAACATAAGTATCAGAAATTCTCTTCTCTGTAGATTAGCCTTCAGAAATTCCTCCTTTGTACCCCTGCGAGAATCTTACAGACTCTCCCAAATCCCTTCCTCTTCCTTTGAGTTTTAATACAAGCATAATCCACATTAATAATAATGGCTGATCTGATCACCCTTCAAAATCAGTAAGACAGATCTGGCAGGACATCAACTGAGCACCAAAGAAGGGACTGCAATAGCACAATATATTACATGCTCTAAAGCCATTTTATTAAATTAAGGCTCTGCGGGTATTTGCTATCCAGCAGTTCAGCCACAGCCGAATTAGCAGTATAATCACTTCTCACTGCTGCCAGACAGCCGCTCTGGAAGGGCTTTCTGCTCTTCCTATGCAGGCCCAAGCCCACTGAGGACTTCTCTATGCTGCTGCACTCTATTTCTGTGGTATTAAAGACAGCATGACATTTTCATCATCTGTGATTTTATAGCTTTATGTAAAATACTAATATATAGCAACATACTTTCTAAACAAACATTCATAAGTATGTCATTTGAAATGACATTTTTATGCATATAAGAAATTATGAAAAATTCCTAACAAAAAAAATAAAATGTGCTAAGATGTTATATTCACGATTTACATTTTAACAACTGTCTTTGGTGTTATCATGCTCTATATGAGGCATGAATACAATTATGAAGTAAACATTATCCAAAAGAAGGATTTTGTGTGTGTGTGTGTGCACA